ATTAAATACATGTATAGGTAATTAAATACGTGTATAGGTAATTAAATACGTGTATAGGTAAATATATACGTGTATAGGTAATTAAATACATGTATAGGTAATTAAATACAAGGTAATTAAATACGTGTATAGGTAATTAAATACATGTGTAGGTAATTAAATACATGTATAGGTAATTAAACACGTGTATAGGTAATTAAATACATGTATAGGTAATTAAATACATGTATAGGTAATTAAATACATGTATAGGTAATTAAATACGTGTATAGGTAATTAAATACATGTGTAGGTAATTAAATACATGTATAGGTAATTAAACACGTGTATAGGTAATTAAATACATGTATAGGTAATTAAATACATNCCACCCACCACACACACACACCCCAACCCTCCCCCACCCTCGCCCACTCCCGCCCACCTACACTCACCGATACGAACTCCAGCATCTGTTGGCTGGTGAAGCCATTCGCGTCCACACACACCCTCCCACCCACACACCCCAACCCACACACACACCCCAACCACACCCCTCACCTCACCCCACCCGCACACCAACCCCTCCCCCACTCACCGATACAATCTCCAGCATCTCCTGCCGGCTGATGAAGCCATTCCCGTCTAGGTCGTACATGCTGAACGCCCAGCGCAGCTTGTCCTCGAGCTTGCCGCGTGACGTCACGCTGAGCGCCGTCAGAAACTCGCGGAAATCGATCGTGCCGTCGCCGTTGGCGTCGAACGTCCGGAACACGTGCTCGGCGAACTTGGTCGCGTCGCCGTACGGGAAAAAGTTGCCGTAGATCTTCTTGAACTCGTCGACGGACAGCTGGCCCGACGGGCAGTCCTTGAGGAAGCCCTTGTACCACTCGTGGATCTCGGCGTCAGAGAACTCGGTGTTCTCGCGCAGGTCGGCGAGCGCCTCTGGCCGCAGCTTGCTTCCGCCCTTGCCCATTACTGCGCTGCCGTGTTAGCTATATGGTTATAGCTAGCGCGGGGGGGGGGGTCGGCTGTCGTCGTTCTCGTCTCTGCGTAGCAACAAGAATCGGAGAAAAATACATGAATTGGTAATTAAATACGTGTATAGGTAATTAAATACGTGTATAGGTAATTAAATACGCGTATAGGTAGTTAAATACGTGTATAGGTAATTAAATACGTGTATAGGTAATTAAATACATGTATAGGTAATTAAATACATGTGTAGGTAATTAAATACATGTATAGGTAATTAAATACGTGTATAGGTAATTAAATACATGTATAGGTAATTAAATACGTGTATAGGTAATTAAACACG